CCCTACGACCCTTCTCCCTGCCAGTTTGAGGGAGGCCTGGCGGGCAATGTTGCAGGCGATCCAGGGTAAGCCCAGTATCCCTCTCACTCCTGTCAGTCTGTCCTTACCATTGATTGCTTCCTATTTCTGCCTTAGATCCCATAGTTACCGCTGCCGCCGATCGGCTTCAAAACCGGGTCCAATAGCCGGAGTCTATTCACGTCGTCTATCCAGTTCCTCCACGTGAAATTTGCCCGTGAAAAGTACCCGTGATTTCATGGGTCACACTACTTTTGGACCTACCTCTGAACGTGATCACGGTCAGATGCATCCAGGTCCGTCCATAGTTGCGGTCTGAGGCCTCGCCACACCGCTCTCGAAATGTGAAAGAGACAAAATGTGCGGTCAGAAGAACCTAGTATTCAGTGCCTTGTTATCTTCAGGAGGGAAACCAAGGTGCCTAATATTAAATTAGTCCTTCTACATTATAGTTTTAGAATGGTTTTATAATTAATTTTATCTTCCTAACTACTAAAGTCACCTAATGTAGGAAAGGCTACTTCTCTAGGAAAGGTTATTTTATTCAAGTTAATTCGTTTTATTGGTTTCGCATCCAAGTTTTCCCTTAAGTGATGCAACACAATTATTTTTCAAAAGTACATTTTTTCTCAGAATAGAGTTCACCTTCAAGGGTAAGGTCAGAACAGTTGTTTTTCTGACCCCCCCGACAACTTGGGATCTCAGTTGGTTCTAGCCACAGTAGGCTTCTTTGGGAGAATGTTTTTTGTTTTTCTCCGAGCCACTAGCTTTAGGGGAGGCTAGGATGTCTCCTCCGGTCGTTTATAGCCCGGATTCAGGCCGTTTTGTCTAGGCCTGTTTTTATGAATATCTCCTGTAACTCTTGGCTTATAGCAGCCACCAGAATTTTCAGAACATTTTCTCAGTCCAAGTTCTCTCAGAATTCCCTGTGGTTCAGTTGTGTGTCCAGACAAGATGTTTATGGGACACGACCCCATTTCCAGGACAAGCCAGAGCTGGGTAAAGGCCCCAGGACTCCTTTTCCGGGTTGAATTGTGAGGTCCCCGGCCTCGATTCCATTATTTGAAATATATTACAGACTTCTTG